CTTCTGTCGCATCCATTACTATAATATTACACTCTTTTGGCGTCTTTTTGCTAACTTTTTAAATGTTGTTTCTTTCAAATCCTTTTTAATATTATTTTTATACTTTTATTTTCAATTTTGTATTTTATAGTATTTATTTATTGTATCTTATATTCATTTTAATAACTTATAAACTATAAATACTACATTTCTTAATAATTTCTATTTTGGCAATATAATATTTGATAAACACAGTATATTCTTACTGGATAACTTTGATGAGCACCTTAATTTCACTAATATATTACTTCGATATCATTTTAATAACTTATTTTTAAAATTTTAAAAATAATTCATTTGTTTATATTGTTTAACTTATATTAAATTCTCAATTCTTGTGGCACTATAATAATAACTGCTCTGAACTTTGGCTAAAATTCTCATTTTTAATATATTGTCAGTATATTGATTGTATAGTTTTTGTGGACTTTCTCTATAATACTATTAATCATTTCATAAGCTAACTTTTGTTTAATATAATATTTTAGACGTTTTTTTTAAAATTTAATATAAACTTAATAATAAATTACAAGGTTATTTGATATGAGATGGGAATATAATTCCGGTAAAACACTATTAATTAATAACTATTAAAATATTTTTAAAACAATTTCTTTAATATTAATACTATTGTTCGTACAATTAAGTAAAAATTAAACAAAATCTTAATTTTGTGAATAAATATTAATTATTTAAAAAGTAAGAAAAACTTATTCAAAGCGTAAGCCGTATAAAAGTATTTACATCTTGTTAATAGATATAAAAATGAATTGACTTTTAAGGCAAGAATTGTAACTATTTTTGCATTATATGCGAAAATGTTGATCCATTGGTACGGTATTGCTGTTGATTGCAAGTTGGTGTCGACCACGAGTCAAATAAATGGCTATTTGTGGGATGTGTGGGCGCAGGCAAGCCATTCCTATTATCACAATAGCAGTGATTACAATCATTGAAAGTTTCAAACAAATGCTCACAACTATATGGCAAGTGATGGATAGGAATTATAGAGGAATGCCTACCAGTCATCCAAATCACAATCTCTGAATCCTTTCGCGAAAGGGTTGGACGCTATTTTCAGTTGAGTTATCTGTGAGTAAGGAAAGGGTTAACTCATTGCTTAGGTTTTTGGAGTTCAGACTTCAATGGTCTTTGTTTTTAACAAATAATATCAATTTTAAGATATGTTTGTCTCAAATGTCTTTCAATCACTCAATTGTTTAAAATGACATTTCGATACTCATTTGATTTCTGTATGGATATTACATTACAAAATAAAATAAAATAAATACTTTAGAAACATAAGTATTTTTATAATAAACAGTAAAATGAATGGAAGTAATGATAATGTGTTGAATAGACTCACTCTATGGTTCTGATAGGCAGTAACGGCCGTAAACTTTGTTTCCGAGAATATAAATGTCTTGAAATTCTCGGTCCGATTCATGTCTTCATCTTTGGGGACGACATACAACACATGGAATCGGGGCTGATATCTATGCATTGAGTTTAAGATTATCTAATGGATAGGGCGAGTAATCATATTAGTAGGACATTCAATAAAGTAATAATGAATGAGACTATAAGGCAGACATACGTGTCCGTTATCGTCGAGTTGGTTATTGGTTAGCTTAACCTTATCGAAAGACACCACTTGTTTCATCCAATGGCAGCCCTTTGCCGGTGAGTCCGGGTGCACATGGATTCGGGGCGGAGTACTCGGGTCTCCCTTTCCGGCCACTACCCAACTAGAACTGATTTATAGAGTTTTACTTTGTATTGTGTTTATAAATATGTCTTTGATAATATAACCATCAAATATTTTAACTTAATCTGATGATCTTCATCTTAACCTAACCTACAAAAGGCTATAATTATTCTGTAATTCTAAGGATTGTTAACTACAGTATATTCTATGATACAATTTTAAAGTTCTTTTCAATAGTATAACTACTGAATATGATAATACAGTAGAATATATTGTAGTGCAATATTTTATTATGAAAGTACGAACCTATGAAAGGCATATCTATAGCGTTTGTCATCGACTGGCATGAAGTCCATCATAAGTATATAATCGGAAGACGGATCCATTCCTCGCAATTTGATTTGAAATGTGGGAAATGCCCGTCTGTTTTGATTTTATATAACACTTTTAATCAATATTTACAATCTCAACACAATTTTTAATAGTGTATTTGTATTAAATTGAAATACATAAAACATAAAACTTATGTGTATATTTCCAAAACTGAAGTTTTTAAAATACAAAGAATCAATAAAAGTTTGATGCAAACTCAAGCTATATAAATATTTAAATACAAGAATCAACAACAT